GCAGCCCACCGGTCGTCGCGATGTAGCAAGCATGGCACGTGAGGGCCCCGAGGAAGAGCCGGCATGGGGCAGGACATGTGCCAGCTCGCGTCCAGACTGTGGGGATGTCTCCAACGATCTGCCTGTGTGGTGGCCGTGGTGGCCCTGATTCCTCATTCCACAGGCACATGGTCATCAATCTGTAGCAGGCGTGGCACTTGAACACCCCAGGGAGGAGCCGCCACCGAGGGGGGGAACACTTGCCCGTTCGCGCCAAGACTGCGGGGAACATCTCGGGCGGCTTGCCTGCGTGGAAGCCGCGATGAAGCAGGTGTAGCACTTGAGGGACCAAAACAAGAGCCGCCAAGGGGTAGGACATTTGCCCGTTCGCGCCCGGATGGAGGCGATGTCCAAGGTTGCGTGCCTGATTGGTGGCCCAGACCTCTTTTCTGTTCGCAGTCCCATGCCATGTTCATCGCTATGTATAACCGAAAAAGGATCCAAAAACCATCAAGTTAGACATCTGGGCCAACTTCACGGAAGTTTCTAGAAACATGCCTGGGCCAATATCTGTCGTTGACGCTGGACGGGCGAACGTGCTGAAGAAATTGGGCTTGATTTCTGGCAAGTTGGTTAAGAAACGCTGGCCCAACTTTTCGGTAGGAGTTTTTTTTTATCAGACGATCGACCGTAATGTGAGGACTCCGAGAAAGAGCCGCGAAGGGGTAGAACAGCTGCCAATTCGCGCCCACATTGTGGGGATGTCCAAAGCTGATTGCCTGTTTGGTGGCCCAGACTTCTCTTCTTTCACGACCCCATGCCCATCGCGATGTAGCAGGCGTAGTACTTTGGGACCCTAAGGAAGAGACGCCAAAGGGTACATTTGTCCGTTCGCGCCCAAATTGCGGGGACGTCTCAAGCAGGTTGCCCGTTTGGTGACCCAGACTCCTCTCGTTTCGCTCCATGCTCATCGCGATGTAGAAGGCGTGGCACTTGAGCACCCCAAGGGGGAGCCGCCCAGGAGTAGGAATGTTGTCCGTTCGCGCCCACATTGTGGGGACGCCTCATGCGGGTTGCCATTTAGCGGCCCAACCTCTTTCTTTGCACAGCCCCATGCTCATCGCGATGTAGCAAGCGTGGCACTTGAAGACCGCAAGGAAAGGCAACATGGGGATAATTGCGACATGTACCGTTCCACGCCCACGCAGGGAGGAACGGCCACCCGCCCGTTCGTGCTTAGATTGCGAAGATGCCTCGAGTAGTTCGCTGGTTTGGGCACTTCCGATTCTATCCAGTTTGGAACATCATGATGGCCTAGCTGTGGTAGGCATGGCACTTGCACGCCCCAACGTGGAGCCACCAGGGGGCGTTACAATTGCCATCTCGCGCCCAGATCGTGAGATCTCTCAAGCGAAACGCTGGCTTAGGCACCCCCCACCTCTCTCCTGTCTGAGCCCCACGAACATCCCGATTCGGCACAGCGCGTGGGCACTCCAGGGGGGGAGCCGCCAGGGATCGCTCAGTCGCGCTGGCAGGCGGGGTCCGGGCCCAGACCCTATGGGGTCCGCGCGCTGGTGCTGGCCACGACGGCGGAGTTCTGGCGAGGATCAGGTCGGGCCTGTCCCCCTGCAGGGGGATTCTGGAGGAAAATGAAAAATGCCCCCCAAATACCCCCCCAAAAATGCTCAAACCATACTTTGAAAAAATAGTCCCCCGACTATGTTTGGGACTACTTTTGAATAGTCCCCCTGTAGAGGGACAGGCCCGACTCAAGGCGAGGAGGAGGGCGCAGCCGGGGCGCAGCGGGAGCCAGGAGTCTGGGAGCGAGGAAGGATCTTCATGCCCACGGGCGGCGCCTTCGCGCTGCAGGGGTGCTACGGCTGAGGCCGAGGGATTTGGCGAAGGTTTCGGGCCGATTTCGGTGGGCGGCGGGGTTCCTGGGCTCACGTCACGCGGGGGGGGGGGGAGGCGAGGTCAGGTCACCACGGCGCAAGAGGGCGCAGCAGCTACAAGTAGCTAACTACACGGATCGAAGGCGGCTCCTGTTCGGATCGGGGCTCTCGGTTGAGACCCAAGTAAGATTACCCAACGTCTGAACTTGGAGGAACAATACAAAGATTGAGGACCGCTCTTGTTCAAAGCCGTGCGATCGCTGGACACTTCCGTGGACTCTCTGATCCTACCTCGTCGCCGTCCGCATTGATGGAGGCATGGATGGCAGCTCCTTCTCAAGACGGGGCTCTCGTCTGAAGAGCAGGACGAAGGGGCACTCGACTTTCAGGGGGGCACCTCCCGCAGCTGGAGGGTATTCGTTCGGGGGCTCATGCTGGGGCTTGGGAAGGGTGGGCGTGTTGCAGCATCGTTTTTGTATTTTGGGTTCATTCGGGTCCTCACACTCCGGCCCTCCCCTTCCGCAGTCCTCCTGTCACCGGGATGCCCGGCCGTGGCTGGCGTCGCCTCCCCGAATACCCCCCGGATGACTGCGACGATCGGTACTCGAGTCCACGCGGTCTGGAAACGATGAGGGTCGTTTTAATCAGAGAAGGCCGATGCGTCCACGCTCTCCCCCAGCTTCTCTCGTGCATCACCGTCCTCCTCCATGTCCTCCGTGGGCCTGCGCGTCCCATCCCACCACGACGTACCGGTAGAGGCCGTTGCGGTGCCAATCTTGCGGGTCCTTGGAGGCGCCCGAACTGCCAGTCTCGGAAGAAGATGCGCCGACTCTGGAGACAGGGTGAGGAGGAAAAGCTGAAGATAGACACCAGAGCAAGACCACGAACAGAGAGACATAATCCCGACAGTACTCGTACCTTGTACACTTGGTGTGCCTTCGCGGGCCTGCCTGTATAGCACAACTCCAATTCACTAAGACAGAAGTCCTTGATGCAGATGCTGAACTCCTGCGCGTGCGCGTGAGCATCTCTCTCCCAACGCGGCACGGTTTGCTCGCGTTCGCGACAACGCCATCCAACCATATTCTACAACTCCTACTTGCATCTACGCACCGCAAACATTATTCGATCCCAGTCGAGGAACTCGAATGGTGCACTCAAAAACATTCGCTTGGCTTTACATGGAGCCTGGCTTTGTTTGCAAGAGACGGCTGCTTCGAAGCCTCCTTCCTGTCCACGTGAACCGAATCTGAGTATGATGCGTTTCCTCGTCATACTAAGCTGCGCTCTCTTATTGGCAACGAGCACAATAACACTCTTAGACAACACCGCGGCGACGTCATAGTGATCTGAGGGTGCAGCAGGGCCGGCAAACATGTTGGACAAATGAATGTGGCTGTCATGTTTTTCTGTCAGGCCTGAAGATATGTAGCCATGAAGGTGTAGCGATAACGCTATACGTGTATATACCATCTAAGCGCGGCGCGGTATCCGTTTCTATATCGGGCGTCGAACGCATTTGCTCGTGATGATGTGGAAGCGCGCTCACGCATTCGTGTAGCAAGTTGATGCGTGATGCTTTCAATGAAAGCATGAACTTACTAACGCAAACGCATTGTCATCGTGCTGGTGCAATTGCTGGGTGGCAAGGTTGAGATGCCGCCATTATGGAGCCAGCAGTAGTAGGAACCCCAACCCTCCGTGGCCAGGGCACCCTGTCAACTGAATGAAATCTGAATGCCGCAACCTGCCACCATCATACCTTCTACAGCTGCTGTCGTCAACACTCCCAGCACCATCAAAGGAACAGTTCAGACTGCTAGCAACCATTTGGATCATGCCATGTGCCAAATTGGTGCTTGCGAACCCGCGGGCGCGCAGCTGCGAGGCCGACGCCGGCTACGATGATGGATCGCGCCCGCGCCAAGGCGACGCAGCAGGCCGCCCGCCACGCGCTCATGGTGATGGCCGCTGCCTAAAGGGATAGCCGCTGCCCACGGGCAGCGCTCGGCCCCTCGGCCCCTTCGAGCGGCCGAAGGTTTTCCTGCGCACGTCGATCGAGCAGCTCGGCTCGACGACTCCGCAGGATCCCCCGCCCGCTCCCGAGGCTCCTCGGCGCGCCTGCGCAGGCGGCGCGCCCGCGGGTGGGGATGACGCCGAGCGAGCGGAAGGACGTCGACGGCGCGCAGCGGGCCGGGCGGGGGGGGGCGCGCGGCGCAGGCGCCGCACTGGGAGGGGGCCCTGACGGCGCGGCCGAGGGCAGCCGCGAGCGCGGCACGGCGGGCGGAGCCGCGGGTGAGGCCAGACCGCGTCGTGCTGTGCGACGGGGGCGATGTGGCCGACGACGGCGTGGAGATCCAGGCGAGCCACCTGGCGGCGGCTGCTGTCCGGGCTGCGGCACCGCGCGCATACGAGGCGCGGCGGGTGCTTGCCTCGGGGCCTCGCCGTCGGCGGGCCCTCCCGCCGGCAAGGTGACGGCGGAGGAGCTCCGTGGCGTGACCGCGGTCATACGCCGGCTCGATGCCGCGCGGAGGGGCAAGTGCAAGGGTTGCGCGGTAAGCCCCTGGGCTCCTGCCTTTCCCGCGGGCGCTGGAAGGGAGGAGTCATACAGTGCACAGCACACCTGTGGGCACTAGCACATATAGAAGTTAGCGCAGCAGAGTGAAATCACCAAGAGTCTTGCCATTCACAAAACGGTGTCTCTCTCCCTGCCCCTCCACTCCCTCATCGGACATTTGCCCAATCGGCGGCAATACACAAACAGGATAGTTCAGAACATCACACCAAGAGGCCTCTTGATATATTTGGCTTTCAAGCAGCCTGACCGCACAACTCTGTGTCTCGACGAAAGCAACCTCGAATGGAGGGGATGAAGAAGGGGAAGAGGTATGGGAGGAGGAAACGCACGCAGGTCTACTATCATCTCTGTTACAACCACCATCGCCACCATACTCGATTCGCAAATCGAGCCTCCATGGCCGCCCCACAACTGCCTGCATTTGTAGAACAACAGATTCGACCTGGTATGTGTACGACAGTTTCGGGAACAATGACACTCTATCTGCACATCAACAACAAATTGTGCAATCATCCAGCTACAATGGTCAAGCACAGAAGGATGGTGTGATTGGCCGAATGGCGCAAGTTATGCAACTACCTGTCATGCGCACGTAACTATGCGCACACATTGCGTTCGTGGATACGCGGACCGTGCGCCGCCCAAGCAGGGCGCCAGCCGAAAATTCGCCGGCCTAACGGGCCAGAGGCGTGGTAAGATCTCCGGTAACTGGTTTACAGTATTTCTAAATCGCGCGCGCGGGGCGGCCCCTGGGGGTCCCCAGACGAAAAGCACCCCGGCAAGGTCCCGGGAGAAGCCCCCAGAGCGCTCCAGGAGCGCACCAACAGGGCCCCGAGACGTCCCCGAGAGTCTCGAGAAGGGATGGTACACCAAGGGTCCGAGATGCCACAAGATCGCTCCAAGACGCTCAAGATAGCCCCCAGACGCACCACGAGGCTTTCAAGAGCACTCCCAAGAGGGCCCCAAGAGGCAAAATTCATTGCTTTTCCTTAGGTTTGGGGGAGATTCTGGCGTTTCCACGTTTTCGGCATCGCGACGCCCTAAGACGGCCCAAGAGGCCCCCAAGATCGCCCTAAGAGGCCCCAGAGACCTCCGACAGGGCTTCAAGACGCCCGAAGATGCCTCCAAGAAGCGTCCCAAGAGAGCCCCAGGAAGCAAACATGGTCGATGTATGTTTGGTATTTGAAAGATTTTAGCGTTCGCACCTGTTCAGCTCCCCGACGCTCCAAGACGGCCCAAGAAGCCTCCAATATCGCCCCAAGGCAGCCCAAGAGACCTCCAAGACGGCCCAAGAGGCCTCCGACACGGCCCAATATGGCACCAAGACAGCCCAAAGAGGAGGCCCAAAGTGGGAACCAGAACGGACATATCGAGCTCTTGGCCCCAAGCGGCGCCCAGAAGCCCCAAGATGCTCCCAAATGCTCCCAAAGGAGCTTCAAGAAACCCCAAAGAGGCTCAAACAGAAACCCAAGAGGCCCCCAAGAAACCCCCAGCGAGGACCCCAAAAGGCCCCCAAAAGCCCAAACCCCAGCGAGGGCACAATACGGGCTGGCGGAATGAGCGAAGCGAAAAAAAACAATGAAAGCTCTACTCTCCGCTCGTTAAAAGTAGAATCGGTGAAACTGGGTGTCGGCTAATCTGGATCGGGAGTTTAGGTCACCGGCTTTCGTGAATCCGAAAACTAGGTCGGCCAGCTCACGCCTCTTTGCCCATCACATACTTGGGTATGTGAGTGCGTTTGTTCGCCCTTGGGTGCCCCAAATTACGTGTCGTTCATTCTGACGCACTGACAGATCCGCCACTGTGCCCCCCTGGCACGTTGAGGCGCGCCAGAATGCCAAATGCTGCCCGGCAGGATTCCTGTGCTTTCCTCCAGGAGCCCCCACCCGCTTGGGAAGCACTCGGCTGCGTCGATCGCCCCCTCTTCTCGAGGCCACAACCCCTCGCGCGATACAGCAGACTCGCTCTCCCAAGGCCCAAATGCCTCCAAGACGGCTCAATATCGCTCCAAGACGGGCCACGTTGGCCTCAAGACGGCCCAAGATGGCTTCAAGACGGCCCACGAGGCCTTCGAGACGTCCATGGATAGTGCAAAGAGCCCTCTCAGGAGGGCCTGGAGAGGCAAACATCATTGATGTTCCTTAGGTGTTTCAGTGTGTGTCGGGTTCTCGCCTTTTCGAGCTTCCGACGTCCCAAGTCGACCCAAGAGGCCACCAGGACTGCCTCAAGACGGCCTCAGAGGCCCCCAAGAGGGCCCCAAGACGGCTCAAGAGGGCTCCAAGACGGGCCAAGAGACATTTGCCCAAGAGGGGCCCCAATACGGCCCCAAGAAGAGCCCAAAAGCTTGAACACGAGCCGACAATTCGAGCCTTCCGCCCCAAGAGGGCTTAGGAAACCCCAAGAAGGCCAGAAGAGGCCCTTGAGAGGCCCACAAGAGGGCCCCGTGAGGCATGTGCCATAGCTTTTTAAATACTTGTTGGGTTCTCGCCCTTTCGATGTTCCGACGCTCCAAGACGGCCTACGAGGCCCCCAAGACTCCCCGAGACAGCACACGAGGCCCCCAAGAGAGCTCCAAGACGGCACACGAGAACTCCAAGACGGCCCAAGACTGCCCACGAGGGCCCCAAGAAGGGCCCAAGAATGGGAATACGAACCAAGCATTCGAGCCGTCTGCACCAAGAGGCCCCCAGCAGGTCCCCTTGCCTTCTCGAATAACTGCCGCCCAGAATGCTGCGCTGGCACGGTGGCGGAATTGCCGGAGGCAGCCGGGTGTTACATCGATATAGGGCCCGAAAACTGCTCTCCGATTTGAATTGTGAAGCTGGCGTGCGTTGTTGGCCATACGATGAGAAACATGGCAAACAAGGTGATGTGGTCTATGACGTCTCGGCCCACACAATACGAATCGATGTTTTGCCCGTGAAGTCATGAATGCCGTCTCTTCTGGCCCAGGCAGCTCCATGATGGTTCGGGGATGCTGTCCGGAGCTGAGGGGAAGCGTTAGGGGAGGGGCTCCTGAACAGGGCGGGCTATCATGCGCCTATCGGCGATCAATGGCCGATCGGGGGTCGATGCATTCCCTCCTGAGCCTATCCCCCCTCTACACGTTGCCCCTGACTCTAAAGCCCCCCCCACACCCCCCTCCCCGGAAAATCTGGGGAAGCTCCTGGTGGCCTTTCAGAATGCTGCTGGAGGCCCCCAAGGCCCCTGGACGGGTCGATGGAAGGAGCGGGGGAGACGGGGAGACGAGGGGGGATGGAAGGAAGACAGGGATGAGGAGAAAGGAAAGGAAGGCGGGCAAGGAGAGGAAGGAGGTGTGGATGAAAGGAAGGAGGGAGGAGGGGGATGATGAGGGCAAGAGAGACATAGAAGGGAGAGGAGGAAGTATGGCGGACAAGACACTAGCGGGGAGGACATGTGTGGGAGGGTGAGGATGGAAGGAGGACGGGGGAGGAGGAGAGGGTGAGAGGAGATAAGCAGATGTGGCAAAGCTAGGGCCGCCAAAATATCAAGCAAGAAAGCAATGGGCTCAAGGACCCTGCCCACATTCCAAAATTATCCGGGCGACAGACCCTATTATATGAAGTTCCGCGTACCGTCGTTGTTAGTGTCGCCTTCGGTGGATCTCCTTATGGGGCCACGAAACGTGCGAGGGGTGGGCCGAAATGAGGCGGCGAAGCCATGCGGCCCCTGGCATGTCGGCCTTCGCTGGAGCCCCCTGTGGGAGGCACGAAACGCGTGAGGGGTGTGCCGAAATTAAGCGGCGTCGCCATGCGGACGGGGGATGACGCATACGGGCGGTCCCACTGGGGCCTTCGGTGGAGTCCCCTATGGGGCCACGAAACGCTGTACTGGGTGGTGGATGGCGGATGCGGGCGGTCCCACTGGGGCCTTCGGTGGAGCCCTCTATTGGGCCACGAAATGCTGAACTGGGTGGTGGATGACGCATGCGGGCGGTCCCACTTGAGCTTTCGGTGGAGATCACTATGGGGCCACGAAACGTGTGGGGGGTGTGCCGAAATGGGTGATGATGACGATGATGGATGATGGTGATGATGACGTCGATGACGTCGATGATGTCGATGATGATAATGGTGATGATGACGATGATGATTACGATGATGATGGTGATGGGAGGAGGGAGGAGGGGGTTGGAGGAGGAAAGAAGGAGAACGCGGGGCGCTGTCTATTCAAAACAAGGACCAAACAGCGTGTGAGGGATGTGCCGAAATGAAGCGGCGACGCCATGCTGACCCTGGCATGTGGGCCGTTGCTGGAGCCCACTATACGGCTGCGAAGCGTGTGAAAGGTGTGCCGACATGAGGTGGCGACGCCATGCGGACCCTGGCATGTGGGCCTTCGCTGGAGCTCCCTGTCGGCCACAACACGTGTGAGGGATGTGCTGGAATGAAGCGGCGACGCCATACGGACGCTGGCATTTGGGCCTTGATTGGAGCTCCCTGTAGGGACACGAAGCGTGTGAGGGATGCTCCGATATCTAGAAGCGACGCCATGCGGGCCCTGGCATTGGGCCCTATTTGGAGCTCCCTGTGGGGCCACGAAACGTGTGACGAGTGTGCCGACATGAAGCGGCGACGCCATACTGACCCTGGCATGTGGGCCTTCGCTGGAGCTTCCTGTGGGGACACGAAACGTGTGAGGAGTGCGCCGAATAGAAGCTGCGACGCCGTACGGACCCTGGCATTTGGGCCTTAGCTGGAACCCACGATAGGGCCACGAAGCGTGAGAGAGGTGTGCCGACATGAGGCGACGACGCCATGCGGACCCTGGCATGTGGCCCTTTGTTGGGGCTCCCTATGGGGCCACAAAACGTGTGAGGGGTGTGCCGAAATTAAGCGGCGACGCCATGCGGACCCTGACATTTGGGCCGTCGCTAGGGCCCACTCTAGGGCCACTACGCGTGAGGGGTGTGCCGACACGAGGTGGCGACGCCATGCGGACCCTGGAATTCGGGCCTTCGCTGGATCTCCCAATGGGGCCACGAAACGTGTGGGATGTGCTGGACTGAAGCGGCGACGCCATGCGGATCCGGGCGTTTGGACATTGGTATGGGGCCACGAAACGTGTGAGCGGTGTGTCGAAATGAAGCGGCGACGCAATGCGGACCCTGGCGGTTGGGCCTTAGTTGGAGCTCACTACGGGAGCACGAAAAATGCTCGAGAGAACTACGGAAGGCATAAGCAGCGTGGAGGGCAGAGGCGCGGATGGGACGAGGGAGGGGGAAGAGGAGGAGGAGAAGAGGACGCGGGGCGCTGTTTTTTTTCTTTTCTTTTTTTTTGTCAAAACGCAAGGACCCATCACCACAGGATAGTTGGGCACAAAAACCCAAGCAAGCAGACGCCAGGCCAAACCCTTGCGCCGGAAACCTCCAATCGCCTCACTGGTCCCACCAGCCCCGCAGGGCGTGAGTGGTTTAGAGAGTTTCCTCTTCCACCCCCCTTCTTCCCCTTCGGGGATGGGTTAATCTTAAGGCGCCGAAGTGTGCTTACCATGGGGCCTTTAAATAGTGAAGTCATGTGTTGATACCAGAGTTGTGGTGTTGTGTTGATGAGTTGTAAGAAATGTTGTAGGATATGTTGAAAAGATGTTGCGTTCCCACACATTCGCGTTTCAGAAAGTTGAAGGAAACGTTGTTGTCCTGAAACGAGTTGCGGGAACTGTTGGCCATGACAAAACGAGTTGGGAAAACTGTTGATATCAACAACCGATGAGCGCATTGATCTTGAATTGCATTGTTTGGATCGATCTTTAACAGAAGCAAAGGAAAAAGAGGAGGAGAACAACCCAAAACTACAGCCCCCAATCACAACTTCAACTCCCCAGCACATCCCCTCAGCACGACCCGCCAGCACGACCCCGCAGCACGACCCCCAGCTCAAGCCCCCAGCACAACCCCTCAGCACGATCCCCAGCACAATCCCCCACCACCAGCCATATACCGTAACCGCCCACCACTTGTCCTACAATCTCTCATTGTACGTTCTCTTTCTCTCTCTCTCTTACTCCCTCCCTCCCTCTCCCCTCAGCTGGCTCAAGCGGCTTATGACGCGCCACGCCGCACGCCCCCCTGAGAAAACGTTCCTGCAACGCCATGGGGTGGGGCCCGAGCCACACTCACGACGAGCTTAGCAGCTCAGATGAGCCCGTCAGCCCCCCTCGGGTGGCTGCTGACGGAGCAGCCAGCAGTGCTCGCTCCGTCAGCCCCCCGAGGGTGGCTGCTGGCGGTGCTGGCGAGCCTCCTCCTCCCAAAAAAAGGAGGGGGCGCCCTCCTGGCTCGATTCGGCCATCCGCCCTCGTCCGGGCCTCGGCGAAGGCGGCGGCGGAGCCTGGGCCTAAGCCCAAAGCGAAGGCGGGCCCGAAGGCCCGCGGCGAGAAGGGCCGATTCGTCAGCGAGAAGGGGCGAGCGGGCGAGAAGGCCCGCGGCGAGAAGGGCCGAGAGCAACAGTGCGACTCGGCGGAAACGGAGCTGGCGCTGAGCGTCGTCAGCCATCCGCCCTCGTCCGGGCCTCGGCTGTGAGGAGGGGAGCAACGGGGATGAAGCAGCGTGTAAACATCGGGAGGGGAACGACGAGGGAGGAGGAGGAAGATGAGGAGGAGGAGGGGAGTGGAGTGAAGTGGGGTGGAGCCCGTTGCAGATGTAAGTCGTCGTCGTCGTCGCCGCCGTTGCCGCCGC